GTTCCCAGATCCCAAATTAAGAACCTCTGCTCTAGATTATAAACATCTATAGCTTTCTTCTCACAACTTCTATCAATTAATGAGCTCTTATTAAGTACCTACTATGTGTTCAATCTTTCACATTCTCCAGTTTCATTGTTCATTGCCCAACATCCCACTGGTAATTTGAAGCTCAATATGATACGACCTAGTATTGGGTTCATTGTTAATTGTTTTTAGAGACTACCACAATATTTTGTTTTGTGTCTTTTGTAAAACTTGAAGTGCTACATAAATGTGAGTGGTAATAATTGTTATTATTAATCAGTACTTAACAGGCCCAAAATTTCACTAATGTGGATACTCTTTCCACCAAGGCAGTTTTCAATCCCTCTTTCCCTTAGCAGATGTCTAACATTCCTTGAATCTAATTGATTTTGTCATTTGTAATACCTGAGTGTGTATGAGAAAGGTAGGAGGCATAGAGGTCATGCTTTTACTCTTACAACTTAGCTCCTTCCCTATCAAAAGATGAGTAAGTCTGGCTTCCAATGGGGAGGATACTGATTATCAGGACATGACTCCCCAGGAGCCACATATTGACCTATGCGTTACATTAAAACTAAACTCTTGGGTAAAATACACAGGAAAGAATAGGAGGAAATCCAGAAGGGAACCCAGACAAGAAGAGAAATTTGGGAAGCCAGAGAAACCAGGAGGAAGAGATGTGGAGGTAAAGAGTTCCAAGCATCAAGAACAGCCAGGAAAAACATATGGGTCAGGGAGATGGAGTGTCATGGGCAAAATACAAGAGGAGTAGAAGGTATAAGAAGACTGGAAAGGTAGGAAGGGGCCAGGTTATGGAAGGATTTATAAACCAAAAAGAATATTTTATATTTGACCTTGGAGGCAAGACAGTCACTGGATTTGATCCTGGAGGCAAGAGGGATGACATGGTCAGAGTAGAATTTGAGAAAGATCAGTTTGGCAGCCGAGTGGAACACGGGCTGGCGTGGGGAGAGAGCCCAGTCAACAGACTGGTTCAATAGTTCGGGCATAAGGTGATGAGGGCCTACACCAGCGTGGTGACAGAGTCAGAGGTGAGAAGGGGGAACATGTCACAAATTAGAGATTTGATGAAGGTAGAAATAATAAGACTTGGCAATTGATTAAATATTGGATGTGAGAGAATTAGGAGTCAAAGGATGTTACCGAGGTTGGAGTTAGAAAATTCAGTTTCCAGTTCTAACACCACCTTTGTGACCATAGGCAAGTGTCTTCACATCTTTGAGCTCCATTTTCCACATCTGTAAAATGGGGATAATAATGCTACCACTGCCTACCTACCAGGGATGTTGTAAATGAAAAAGCACTATGTAAATGTGAGCTATTGTTTTTATTATGTAAGAGCCCACTCTCCTAAGGAACATAGACATGAGACATCCCCCCTTGGCTTTCAGACTGAACCCACCAAAGTCCCAGAGAACCACCAATACTCATGGGATTCCCGTACTGTTACACCAACCTTAGTCCACTGAGGCAATGACCACTTTTTAATCTCTCCTGTCTACAATCCCTTCTGCTCTGTATTCTGCCTCAATAGCAGGTTCCCCACCCCTGACCAAATCACTAGCAATAACATCATCACCTCCTTTTCCCTATAGAATTTCCTGCATATATTCTTCCTCAAAGGCAGTACCTACATACAGCTTCCCCTTTCCTACACCATAGTATGTTACAATTGTCCCATGATCCTGAATTCTGCCAATAAAAGGTATTTTTAAAAACAAAAACAATTGTTCCCAAACTAATCCCAATGTTGGTTAGGCAGGTCACCAGTCAATACTAAGCACCGAATAACCGCCTTGTACAGAAGCCTTAGTTTCTTTTTCCTAAGCAGGTAACACCTTAAATAAGGCATATTGGCTCAGTTTTCTAACTGAAGTTCTGTCTAGATATGAGACTGAATCAACTATTTTCCCACGATTCAGGCAACTTACCACATGGTCATTAAGACAGCTGAAATTCTCATATCCAAAATAATTGGACACAGTGGGGTCATCTTGGCTGCTTTAGCAACCTGATCCATCATTCAGGGATCAATGCAAATTTACCAGAAAACAGCCATGGGTCTGGATGTTCCCTAAGGCAAGGATGATTTGTTGATATCATTATTGTTGCATATATATGTACATATATATATATACACATACATACATATATACACACATACATATACACACACATATGCACACATACATACATATATACACACATACACACACATATATACACATACACACATATATACACACACATATATACACACATACACACATATATACACACATACATACCCATATACATACACACATATATACATATATATACACACACACACATACATTTATGTATATATATCTTTGGCAAGACCTAATTCCCTTCTACTTCATTCATTATCAGAGCACCCTCTGGCTTCCTTCTAATCCCATTACTTTCTTGTTGGTAGAGCAGAAAGATGAAATTGAATTTCCTGAGGTCAGGTGGCACTGACAGCCAGAAATATCTTGTTTGGTTCCCTGAGGGAGATAGGGAAGGTGGGCAAAGGCAAATCACCATGGTACAAACTATTCCTGCAAGAGCTAAAGGTAATGGATGGCAGGAATATTTACCAGAGCTGTGAGGATTAATTAATCAAGGAAGTTTTCTTGAACAAGGAGCTATCCAGGAGCAAAGGAGAAAGTCACAGAATAATCTAGGAGTTGGTAGACCATCTATTCCGACCCATACCTAAATAAGAATTCTCCTTATAACATCTTTGACAAGTGGTCATCCATCTTCTACTTGATCATAGCATTTAGAGCTAGAAGGGACCTTAATTTTAATCTAACTTCTTTATTTTATAGAAGAATAAACTAAGGCCTAGAGTGGTTTTATAATCATAATCATATCTACCATTTGTATGAATTTGCAAAATGTTTTACACACATTATCTGATTTGATCCTCACAACAACCCTATGAGATACGTGTTACTATTATCCCCAATTTACAGATGAGGAAACTGAGTCTGAGAAGTTAAGTAACTTGTCTAGGATCAAACAACTAGTCAACGTCCAAGGCAGGATTCTAACTTGGGCTTCCTGTCTCCAAGTCCAGCATTATGGTACCCAGCTGCTACGTTAGTCCCAAGGTCAAACAGCTTGCTGGTAAGAAGTAAGTCCCAGGTTCTCTGACTCCAAATCCAGCACTCTCCATATTCTCTCTCATTTTAGTTGACAAGTAATATCCAAAAGCTAGAGTCCCTGACCCCCTCAGCTTTTAGCCCAATGCTCTGTCCTCAGGTTATGTTCTCAAGAAAATCCATGAGAATGTTATCCTAAATAAGGAAGAATAAAATACCCCTCTTTATTACTTACAAGGGTAGCCCATCCCTTGATTTCAGGGCCATCAAACTCCCTTTCTTTCCATACCTTGCCTGTCTGCTCTTATCTCTGATGACCTTCCTAAGAATAAAGACCCAGGGCCTTCTGTTAGCAATTAGCCTTCCCATGAAGTCTCCACTGAAAACAACAGCTGCAATTAGTACCAGGTAGGAGAAAAAAGGTAACAGAGCAAGTCTTCTCGGTGCCTAGTGGCTGGTTTCCCCTTGCACATGCCTGGAACAGTCTGGGGCAGGGGCGGGGGTGGGGGGAGGTGGGGGGAGGGGGGCGGCGCTCGGCAGCAAAGTAATTAGAATGCTGAGGGACCTGGGGAAAACAGGCAAGAATGTTTTTCTTTGCTAGGAAATAGGGATCTTTCTGTGGCCTCTGGCACACACCTTGTTTTTGAAAGAGAGTATATCCTTTGGGAAATCATATCTTTTCTGCCTACCATCATGACACCTCAATGAACTACTTACTGGTGCTCTTTTTGTGGGGCTGGATGGGCTAACTAGAGGATATCCAATTGGATATGTGCAAATGGCAGATGGAGGATGGAGATGCAGGACTAGAGCTCAGAAGAGAGATGAGGACTATACATTCGAAGGCTCATAGATTTAGAGCTGAAAGGGACCTCTGGAAAATGATCAAGTTCAATCTTATTTTACAGATAAGGAAACTGAAGCCAAGGGAGATCAAGTGATTTGCCAAAGGTCACATGGGTATTAAGTGTCAGAGGCAAATTTGAACTCTAATTATGAAGCCAATGATCTTTCTACTGTAATATACTGAAAGCCATCTGCATAGTGACGACACCTGAACCCATGGCACATTCCCCTAAGTCTCTACTGTGGCAAACTGGGGACGAGACTTGATGGAGACTGCCAGCTCCTCTCACATCTTCCTGTCGTCCATAGTCTAGTCTTCCTCCAGCAGTCTAACGTGGGATTGGCCTCCTTCCTCCATCTTTTCTTTCGAAGGTGGGAACCAGAAGTACCTGAAAAGACTAGATGCTTAAAGGTCTCCAGAGAATGAAGCCCTCATACTCTCACAAACTCCAACCTGCCTTTCCTACAGGGGCAGGACATTGATCTCCACCAATGAGAAGAACGTACACATTAATGGGCATTGAGACTGGGGTTACATAAATAAATATACACATATTATCATATGTAACAATACTAACTTGTATTTGTATGGTACTTTAAGATTTGTAAAGCACTTTACATGTATCTCATTTTATTCTCAGAACATTCCTGAAAGGTAGATGTTATTACTATCATCCCTGTTTTACTGATGAGGACACTGAGGCAGATGAGGTTAAATGACTTTTCTAAGATCACACAACTAATAAATGTCTGAAGTCACATTTGAGCTCGGGTCTCCCTGACTTCCAGTCCAGCACCATCGATCTGCCCTATTTTTGCATACTTAAATGATTTAACTTACGGAAGTATGTAATCAAAAAAATTAGGGCAGCATTGGTCTAACCAACTATGTACCCCCACAAATGAGTGCAGTGCTGGCTGAGAATCTCATTACTAGACCACCTTCTGACTTGCATGCCCTTCTATTCCTTGCCCTTGTTGCTATACATCTAGCCACACAGAAGTCATGTCCCTGGTTCCGTGGTTCCGGTGGAGTGAGACCCCTCACAAGCTGACTCCCAGAAGTCCAGCAGAGCTGGTGCTAGAGACTCTGATGATGGAACTAGCTTGGCAGATAAAGGAAACGGAGAAGCAGCATCGAGAAAGGGAGAATGAATATCGGAAGATCCGCACCGGTGTTGACTATAGCTGGCTGGCAAGTCCACCCAGGAATGCCTATGACCTCAGCCCCGGGGAGAGGCTTCAGCTGGAGGACGCCTGCGCCAAAATCCACCCTTCTTACTGCGGACCCATGATCCTCAGGTAAGGATGTTGTCAGGACCGAGTGCGAATAAGAAAAGCAGGCAGCTCCAGTTCACAGAAGCAAAGCTTTTGAGTTAGAAGGGACCTTGGAGGACATCCGGGACAGCTCTCTCACTATGCAGATAGAGGGAGTTTAAGTGCCCAGGAACCCATAAGTGGCTCCAAGGGAATTTGAACCCAGCCCTCTGACTCCAAATTCAGAGATCTTTCTACTGTATTGCAGAGTTCATGCATTATAATTTGAGGAATGCAGATAGCCTTCTCCCGGCCCCACTAAAAAAACTCCCTCATAGTGACTGAGAAGGAGGAAGCAGCGTAGTAGTAACAGAGCACTAGCAGGCCGGCCAAGTGTGAACAGCAGGGTTCCATTTAACATGACTGTAAATGGTCTGGAGGAAGCATAGCGAGGGGAAGAATGAGTTCAGGAAGATTAACACTAGTCTACATAACCGGCTGGCAAGTCCACCTAGAAATGCTTAGGACCTTCACTGGAGGTGGGAAGTGAAGGCAGGGAGGAATACGTGCATACTGGTATGGTTTGGAAATGATCTGTTCGAAAATGGTCATGGACAAGATGAGGCTCACCTATCAGAGCTTAAGGTCCCAAGGGCAAAGTCCAGAGTGTGGTGGGAGCGGGATGAGGAAGATGGCCAGAATACAGGCGGTATAAGCCAAATCCAAGGTCATAGACCAAGGGCCAACTTATCCATAGTGTGCATTCTCATGGCTTTTGATCTGCATACTGAAACATATCTGCCACTTTTCTATTGGCCCAGACATTATTTTGAGGTCTTTCCTTCTAACCATTGCCAAGCCATAACGCCTGTATTCTGATCATCCTCCTCATCCCCCTCCCACCATGTTAACATAACTAAACTTTCAGATTAATGTTAAGAAAGATTCCCTTCTCCTCTCGAAAATTAAACTGTCCTTTAGTGCCTCTATCCAAGACAAACTTCTGGGCTAAGTGCATCATAGTTTTGACCTGGCACAGTCATTTGAAAGTTCTTATAAAACCCCAACTATTTCAGGCATTGCTTTGGATTAATGTATTATGTTTCCAGATGGTCCCTATTAAAACAAAATTTAACTCCTCAGGGGTACCAACTATCATCCGCTCGCACTTTAATCCTAAAAGGGGAGGTGGGTTGGGGAGAGTAGGGGATTGTGCAATAGGAAGCGGACCCATGTTTGAGTTCTGGCTTCATCTCCCACCAGTCATGCGATTGTGGACAAGGCATTAACTTCTTAAAACTTCAGTTCATCCTAAATAAAATGGGGACAATATTTTCACAATCTATTTTATAGGATTGTTGTGAGATGTGTGCTAGTGAAATTTGAGCTATTATCATCCCTTTGGATGAACTATCCTGAAAAGGTTAATTTGAAGGAGAGGTGAGTTTTGATAGAAGGAAGAGAACAAGAGATCAGCAATAGGATTTACTTCTACAGGACATCAAGTCAAGTCAAGAAGCATCTATTAAGTAGTGTTAGGCACTGGGCTAAATGCTAGAGATACAAAGAAATACAAAAACAGTCCCTGCCCTCAAGGAACTTTGTGTGTGTGTGTGTGTGTGTGTGTGTGTGTGTGTGTGTGTTATGGATGGGGAGATAGAGCAAGAGAACTTTAGGTGCTTTTTAGAGGAGGGGAAATCATAGAAAAAGAGAAGGAAAAGACCTGAAGACAATTTGACTCACTTCTCAATTTTGCAGAGGGCTAGTGCTGATTGGATTGAGATGGCCAAGTAAAGAGAGATAGAGATCCACCCTTCTCTCCATCACCAGCCTGGGTCTACCATCTACCATCCAAGGAGTGATAAAAAACAAAACCAATTGTTTCTTACATAGTACTTTAAGATTTGCAAGGTAATTAAGAAGACTATGGCACTGAAACAAATTCTTCTTAAAATAAAATCAGTAACTCAATTTTATATAGCACTTCATGGTTTTCAAATATATGGTTTGCAAAATAACTTTATGAGGCAGGTTGTGCTACTAAGTGTCACCATTCTACTGATGAAGAAATTAAAACTCAAAAAGGTTATGAGACTAAGGGTTATACAGCTAGTTAGTGTCAGGGCGCTACCAACTCCATATCTAATCCTCTTCTTCCTACATCTTGCATTCCTAGGCATTGGGCTGGTCCTAAAATCTTCCATTTTTCTTCCTAATTTTTCAATAGCATGTTTAGTTGGTTTTTTTTTTTAACTTATACCAAGAAATAGAACATATACCCTTTCTTCATGTATGTGTCCTGTACACTTCAGTATGTTCTGCAAGGATTCTGTGATTCTGGTGGCATGGGTTCTCCTACCAGTGTAGATTATAACCCCCTTTATGCCTTGATGACATGGTCTCTAAGAACTGCTGTAGTTGAGAAATCCTCCTCTCCCTCCTTCTTTGTCCAGCCTGGCAATGAGCTTTTATGAACTTGGCTTGAGTCCTCAGGACCTATAGCCAATCCCTGGAACTTTCTAATTTAATCAGTCTGTGCTGATGCTTATGATCCATGGGCATAGTCTTTAAAGATGCAGAATCATCTCCAGGTCAGGGTAAGACATTAGAGATGGACTTCGATGGGGCTATCTTCCTTACCCTGCATACCTCACAGGATGACTGTGAACACTTCATAGAGTTAGCTATACAAATGTGAGTTCATAATCTCATATAGTAGCATCATAGATTTTGAGCTAGAAGGGACCCCAGAGATCATCTAGCCCAACTCCATCTGTTTTTTAAATTTCATTTTATTTTTGAATTAACAAGCATTTATTTTCTCTCCTTCCCACCCACCTCAACCCAATAATTTAAAAGAACAGCGACCAATGCCCTTGTTTTAAAGATGAGAAAACACATGTGCAGAGAAATTAAGTGACTTTCTCAAGGTCTCGAAGATGGTATGTGAGAGAGACAGAAATTGGACTCAAGACCTCTGATTCCAAATTCAGCTTTCTTCTTATGCCCTGTTGATATTTTATTGGTAAATGTGTCCTGTCATTTTGTTGTCCTTCTTTCAAGACTCCAGGGCCAGGGGCAGCTAGATGGTGCAGTAGATAGAGCACTGGCCCTGAAGTCAGGAGGACCTGAGTTCAAGTGGGTAAGTCACTTAACCCCAATTGCCTAAAAAAAAAATCTTTAATTAATAACCATTTATTTTCTCTCACTCCCTTCCTTCCCTTGCCTCTGCAACTTCCTCATTTTACAAATGAAAAAACAGAGGCCTGGGGAAAATTAAGTGACTTTCCCAAGACCCCGCAGGTAGTAAATGGCAGAGGTGAGGTATGAACTAGATCCTCTGACCCCAGAATCAGTGCTCCTGTTCCCTTGACCCCCATCTCCCCAACTCCTAGTGGTCCTTTAAATAGCAAGTAGCCATCCAACCATCAGTTGGAGTCCTCCAGTAAGGGGGAATCCATTACCTCTCAAGACACTACATTTCATTAATAATTAACAAGTGTTTCCTTACATCAAACTAAAATCTGCTTCTGCAGTTTCCATCCGTTGTTTCTAGTTCTGCTAGCTTAGACCAAGAAGTCTAAACTCTCCTTTATATGACATCCTTTCACTATGCTGATTCCTGCACTAGGAATTGGAGTATGTCCTCAATGGAGTGGTCAAAGAATGGCCTTCCTGGAGGAACAGGAAGGAAGTAGCAAGGGATTCAACATATGCTATGAAAATGTGTCCTACCCTGTCTCTTGCTCTTCTCCCTCTAGGTTTCGGCAGCTCATTGCTGAGTATGAGCCAGAAGTCCATGAGGTATCCCAGCTCTTCCGCTCAGTCCTGCAGGAGGTGCTGGAGAAGATGAAGGAAGAGGAAGCCGTCAGGAAGCTGACCAAGCAATGGAACACTCGGTCCCGGGGCACCCTCTCCCTGACCACCTTTAGGACCCGTTCCCGCATCTTCCCTTTCACCAGTGACATCAGGACCATCTCAGAGGACGTGGAGCGGGATGTCCATCCCACCCCTAGGGTCTGGAGTATGCCTGAATTCCAGATGCACAAAGACCAGTAACTGAGAAAAAGGAGCTGGATTCCTAGGAATGACTTTGTTAGCCAGGTTTCAACCACAAGTGCCAGCTTTTTTTCTCACAATTCCTCTTTTTTACATGCTCCCTTGCCCCTTTTCTGAGGCTCTGAACCACCCACAGGAATAAGGAACAAATGAATACACAAATGGGAAGGGTCATTATTCAATAGGGGCCTTATTTACCCAGTTCCTAAGCCTGTCACTCTGTCAGCAGTCAGAATCTAGGAAGTAGACAAGGCTGAAAGAGCCCACAATGTATGATTCTTTAACAGACATTGCAGAGGGGCAGCTAGGTGGCTCAGTGGATAGCATATTGGCCCTGAAGTCAGGAGGACCTGAGTTCAAATCCAGCCTCAGACCAAACACTTGACACTTACTAGTTATGTGACCCTGGGCAAGTCACTTAACCCTAATTGCCCAATAATAATGATAATTTTTAAAAAAGACATTGCAGCCAGGGTTAGGATTGTCTGCCATAACCCCAGGAAGCCAGGACCAGGTAAAAGTGTCTGGGACTTCAGGTCACTGTTATTCTAGCTTCCCCTAGCTAAAAAAAGATCAAATAGAGGAGTCCCCCACCTCAGACCTCATAAGCAACAAATATATTGGGTAAACAAATGTACCCATTCCTTATCCTTGCCTCTAAGAGAAAGGGGGTTACTTTGCCTTCCTGCTGAGACCTCTAACAGCTGAGTTGTGGAGTCATTTTAGGTTTAATTATCTCTCCATCGCTCTATGTTGGTCTTTGTTGTTGAGTGGTGCCAGTTCAATCATTTCTATTCTTTGGGATTTCTTTTCTTTTTTCTTTCTTTTTTAAGCTGAACAAATCAGCGTTGGTTGGAACCTTAGAATGAGTTAGATAGTCCAAACCCTTCATTTTATAGATGAGGGAACAGGCCCAGTGAGGTTAAGAGTCCTTCTATCTTATCCTGACAGGCTGATTTCCATGGGCCCTTTGGCAATTTCCCAGTACTTGAGCCTTTAAGCTGTGGGCTATGACAGAGCGTGGACCAAAGGCCATTTCCCCTCCAAATCTACCACCCAAGTTACCCCCAACAAAACATTTAAGTACCTAGTGTTTTGCTGGAGCAGGTCTCCTAGAATCCTACTCCCAGACTGATATCATACAGGACAGAATGACAGCACCCAGGATATAACCAATTCTCAGAAGGCCTTCCCTGTAAGCTTTGCCTACTGGAAAAGCAGGGCATTTAGAGCCTCCAGGGACCATCAAGATCATCTAGTTCAAACCCTCTCCACCCCCTTTTAAATTTCAAAAAGTCTTTTATTGAGGCACTTATCTTTTTAAACCACACTCACTTCCCAATAAATTCCATCCCATCCCCACCCCTCAACAGCAGTATTCACATAAAACAAAACTGTCTTAATAGAGCGACTGAGATTTCAGCTGAGAAAGAATATAACAATCTGCATCTAGAGACAGACCATCACCTCTCTACACCAAGGAAGGAGGTGCATTCCAGCATCAGACGTCAGGAATTGTCCATGGATCATTGCATTGCATAAATTCTGTTGTCTTTTAACATTGTTTTCATGTATATCATTGTAGTAATTATGCACATTGTTTTCCTGGTCTTTCTTTGTTCTTTATCAATTGATATAAGTCTTGCCCTGTTTCTATGAATTCCTAATATTCAGTTTAGAGAACTCCCTGGTGAGGAAACTCCCTTCACTAATGCAGATCAGCAATTCATCTGTAACTGAGAATCTTTGAGAACTACCAAGGGTTCCCAAAAGTAAAGAGACTCACCTGCACTCTCACACAGCCCATTAAATGTCATAACCTGAACCCATGTCCTTCTGACTCCAAAGCTAGCCCTGTATGACCCTCTACTACATCAAACAGCCTCTCTTTCCTAACTGCACAATAATAATGCACTACATTCACAACCACAGTTTGTTCACCAATAATAATGCACTACATTCACATACCACAGTTTGTTCACTTAAACTCACTTTGCTTCCAGTTTTTTGTTTTTTGTTTTTTTTTTTTTTACCACTACAAGAAGTGCTACTATAGATATTCTGGAACAAGGGTGGGGAACCTGTGGCCTCAAAACCACATGTGGCCAAACTTCAGTTTGGATTTGGTCAAAGGGCCACACTTGAGGACCCAGAGAGCCACATGTGGCCTCGAGACCGCAGGTTCCCCACCCCTGGTCTAGACTTTCTCTCATTGATATCCTTGGCATATATGACCAGTAATGACTCTCTGAGTATGATCAGTTTAGCAACTTTTCTCATATAATCCCATTATTTTCCATACTATCCAATTTTCATTGTGCAGGTGAGGAATCTAAGGCCCAGAGAAAAGTGACTTTATTGAGTTGGCACAGTGGATAGATCAAATGCTGGGCCTGGAGTCAGAAAGACTCATCTTTATGAGTTCAAGTATGACCTCAGATACTTACTCACTGTGTGACCCTGGGCAAGTCATTTAATCCCACTTGCCTCAGTTTCCTCATCTGTCAAATGAACTGGAGAAGGAAATGGCAAACTTCTCCAGTATCTTTACCAAGATAACTTTAAACAGGGTCACAGAGAATAGGCTATGACTGAAAAATAAATTGAACAAATAGTAACAGATCAAGGATTCCTTTGATACCAAAGCTAATGTTCTTTTCATCACTCCACATACTCTCTGTATGATCTGTAGGTGAATTATCCACTTGGAGGATGATCAATAGCAAAATCTTCCATCTAAATTACTGGTTAGCTTTTAGCACAATCTAGGGCTGCCCCTTTCCACTTGTCTGTGATTGGTCAAAAAATGCAAATCAATCATATCAGTTTGAGCAAAGACACTGTAGGAGGAGAAAAATTAATCTGGAAGTGGGGAAAGAGCCATAGATAATGCATACCAAAGCCAAATGGAAATGGTTTGGGGGTTATTCTGTTCAATAGCACGGAAAATTGAGAATCCAGTTTAGATGCCTGCCTGGATCTGAATAATTGCTGAATAATTCCTTCCCTTTTCTTACATGGACGTAGGAAGGAGTATTTGTACCTGTCCAATATTCTGACCTCCTTCCTTCCAGCTACTTCAGAGCTATATTTGTATCCTAGGGAGAATGATTTCAGAAATGTGTCCATAAGCCCATCTTGTAGCAACTCTGGGCAGGAAAGAGGATATTATCAGTACAGAAATGAATTCTTTCCATCGCGCAGAAGGTTCTGTGGAGGCAGACAGCCAGGGAACATTTCCCTAAGGGAGGAACACAATACCATGAAGTGTAACTGTCTTTCATCAGGATTCAGTGAGGAAAATCACAAGTGAAACTTCTTGTTTTATTCTCAAGTGAGGGATTGATGGTGAGAGGTTTTAGGTGATAGGTGGGAAGGATATGTATTCAAAATGTCGCTGAAAGTAATGTGAAGATTTAGACACAAATGTTTAATAACTGGTTCTTTGATGGGGGAAGTACACAAGACAAACTTTTCAGTTTAATCTGAATTATTGACATTTTCTCCATCCATCCATCAATCAATCAATAAGCATTTAATAAGCAACAACTATGTGCCAGATACTGTGTTAAGTGCTGGGGGTACAAAAAGAGGGAAAAAACAGTCCCTGCCTTCAAGGAGCTGACAATCTAATGGAGGAGGCATCATGCAAACAAATATATACAAAGCAAACTACCTGTAAGATAAATAGAAAATAATTTAAAAAAGGAAAGCACTGGAATTAAGAGAGGTTAGGGAAGTTTTTCTGTAGAAGGTGGAATTTTAGTTGGTACTTAAAGGAAACCAGGGAGGTCAGTAGTCAGAACAGAGGAGAGGGAATATTCTAAGGCATCAGGATGGTCAGAAAAAATGCCCATAGCTGAGATGGGGTGTCTTGTTCCTGGAACAGCCAGGAGGCCGGTGTCACTGGATCAAGGAGGATGTGTTGAGGAGGAGGGTGTAAAACTGAAAGATAGGAGGGGGCTAGGTTACAAAGGGCTTCAAATGCCAGATAGAGCATTTTTTATTTGCTCCGAGAGGCAAAAGGAAACCATTGGAGTTTACTAAATGACATAATTGGACCTCTGTTTTAGGACAATCGTTTTAGTGGCTGAATGGAGGATAGATAGTAGTGGGGAAAGACCTGAGGCAGGCAGACAAGGCATGAGGTGATGACTGCCTGCACTAGAATGGTGGCAATGTCAGAGAAGAGAAGGGGGCATATCTGAAAGATGTTCAAAGGTGAAATGGGCAGGCCTTGGCAACAGCTTGGATATGAGGTATGAGAGATAATGAGGAATCCAGGATGACTCCTAGGTTGTGAGCCTGTGGGATAGGGAGGATGATGTTGCCCTCTGCATTGATAGAGAAGGTAGAAGGGGGAGAGGGTACTTTAGGGGGAAAATAATGAATTTAGTTTTGGATATATTGAGCATGAGACATCTACTGGACTTCCAGTTCAAGATGTCTGAAAGTAGTTGGAGATGTGAGATTGGAAATCAATAGAGGAATCAGGACACTTTCTTACATCGCTCTAGATATTCCACAAAACAATAAATCAAGCCCTGACTTGTAGCATTTGCTGATTTCCAAGGTGTAAATGCTCACAATAAAAATTTAACAATCAATTCTTACATGAGGTAAGATCTGGCAGCATCCGCCCTGTATGTTTAAGGAACTGAGGGGTTTGATGAAGCAACAGTTGTGCCTTGCTTTAAGTAAACAGAGTAGCATAAACTCTATACTTTACAAGCATTTTTCAAAAACCTACAATGTGGGGCAGCTAGGTGGTATCTGGATAGAGCACCGGCCCTGGAATCTGGAGGACCTGAGTTCAAATCCAGCCTCAGACACATAACACTTACTAGCTGTGTGACTTTGGGCAAGTCACAACCCCACTGCCTAGCAAAAAAACAAAAACTAAAAACTAAAAAAACCTACGATGTGCTAGGCTCTGTACTTGGTACTAGGGATAAAAATACATAAATGAAACAGTCCCTTCCCACAAGGAGCTTACATTCTTTGAGGGAAGATAACATACAAATATATTCAGATTTCAGTCATTTTTCAGTTGTGTCCAACTCTTCGTGACCACATTTGTGGTTTTCTTGGCAAAGATGCTAGAGTGGTTTGCCATTTCCTTTGCCAGCTTGTTTTACAAATGAGGAAACTGAGACAGAGTTAAGTGACTTGTCCAGGGTCACATATAAGTGCCTGAGATCATATTTGAACTCATGAAAATGAGTCTTCCTGACTCCAAGCCCAGGACTCTATTCACTGTGCTATCTAGCT